GGCAGCGTAGAATCCTGCATTCAGGGGTCCCTCTAGGAATTAAGTTTAACATCCCTTAGTTAGACCTTCTAACTCTCAGCACTAAGCCTCTCACCTCTCAGCTCAATGTGCCCACCATCCAATTAAATCCAGAAAGCTGTTTCTACAGCTGGGGGAAAGGACCAGGGCAACAGCCGTGCTCAGCATGCTGCTGAAATGTTTGACATTTTCACATTGTCCTCATAACAATTACTATTACTTAGGCAAACACTAAGATCTCTTTTTTGCATGCGTGCGGTAGGGGGTTTAGGTTATTAGGGATCTGACTGTATCTTTGCATGTGTTTGTTTGTGTAAGATTGGTGTGATTGTGCCTGCATGCATTTATATTACTTTGTTTGCGTAATTATTCAGTGTGAATTTTCTAATCAGTTTACCCTTAGCCTGTCTCTCTGTGGGTCAGTAATGAGTTGTTGTTTGAAGCTCAGTTATCAGAGACCCTTTGTAATAGTCAGCATTTTTCTAACAAGTTTATTAATTTAATTACCATTGAATAATCCACCGAACATGTTTGTTGTTAGTACTTTTAGTTTATATTCCCTACTTGCATGGTGGTCATGAACAAGGAAGCAGATCATTGATACAGTATTCTGAAGGTTCACCTGGCACACAAATCTTATTAGATTATTTTAATACATTATGTGTTATTGCCAATGACAGTTGGCAAGGAGCTTAACAGCATGCATATTAAACCTGACAGGGACTACTGAGGATGTTCTAACTTTGAAATTCACTGAGGAAGTTGAGGAAGCTCAACTTGATGGAAAAGGCTCATAAACAGCTCAAGTATTTAAAAGTGTGTTTACAATGATTTAAAATTCCTTTGGACACCACTTTCCCACCTCCGCACACATTAATTCTCACATACAAATATTTAGTCTGTTCTTGTCATTTCCATCTCCCCTCGCTCTCTCTGAACTGGTTCATTTTGCAGCAATAATTTCATACTTAGAGTTAGAATTCAGTTTCAACTCCGCTGGCCTTCCTCTGATGACGTCTATACTTGCTCAGTAAGGCTTAGGGAGATGATGTTGTAGATCTAGAGTGCCCTCTTCCTCCCCTCTGGAAACCCCTCTGCGACACAGAGTACAGAGATAATGACTGATGAGCCCTTTGACACGGAAATGCTTGACATGCTCCTCGGGGTCTGAACTAAAGACTTCCCTAACAAGCTCTCGCATGCTCACCCAGGGCTGTATTAAATCCAAACTTTGGCACCTTTCCTAATTACTGAGAACATACCCGGAGCGAAGAGCCTCTTCCTAACCTGGGCTGAACTCCCCTCTGCAGCGCAGTGTCCCTTGAGTATGGGATGATATATGAAATGCAGAATTCAAATTAGGCTGACGGAGAGCAATTACCGGGGAAGGAAGATCCCTTACTCTTTGGGAAAATAAGCATCAAAATCCAGATACAGTGTACGTGAACGTTTTATCCACTTCTTCTTATTCATACATGCTCTGTCCACCTCCCTCACCTCTCTCTTTGTTATCCCTCTGTTTTTCCTTTCACTGGAACACAGGTCTTAGGTAATTTTCTGTTTCTCCTTGTTTATCTCCCTGTAGGTGTCTCCTATCTCACATTTTAACGCTTTTCTTTCTTTCTTTCTTTCTCCACTACATTGCCATTAGTGGCGTCTAATTTATGATGCACATACAGTAGAAAGCCCTATTAAAAGCCTATTTACAGTTGTTTAACTGTTGTTGACAGCAACTAAATATTATGAGACATATGAGGCAGTTGTGCTACAATTTGAAACTCTTTTTGTCAATTAATGTTTTGTATTCCTCAAATAATAATAATAATTTAATACGGCACATTGTGCTAAAATGCAGACCTAAAACATCTCTGCACACATTACATATTAGTTTATTCTGCGACCAACAATGCCAAACTATGATGGGAAAAACATTACTTTTTTTCCTGCACTCAGTGACACTGATTGCTCTGTGTTTATTACATTCATTAATCAATCAATGCACCCACCCGCCTGTCTATCTGTTCATTCATTTAGTCAGTGCCTCGCTTCCTCATTAATGTATTGTACAACAGTCAGCAAGGTGCGTTAATAGATATGTGTAAACTATTGTGATGCTGAGAGCTGTTGATTGCACTACTGATGGGCTGGGTTAATTATTCTGAGCAAGAGTCGTTCATCTTTCCTGAATTAGGCTGGATTAATTGAAAGCTCTCCAGTATGTCTCTGTAAGTGGCTGTCCAATCTGTTAGTCAGTGTCCTCTCATGTCATCTTTCTATCTGCTGTAATCAACAGCTCAACCCTCTTCTCCCCTCTTAAAGCGTTTTCCATTTTTCTACATCTCCTATCATTAGCTTATCAACCCCTTTCTCCTCACATTATAGCAGAATATGTCTGCTGACAACCTTCATTGTAATGCACTTGGAAAATCAATTATAACTCTCTATAACACAATACTGCACCACTTCTTTGCTTCCATCCTCTTCTCCTCCTGCTCTTGCTATCATCCTGTTTGTGTGTAAGCACGTCAAAGTCATCAAGTGGGCTTTGTGTCTTATGTTTGCCCCAGGACATCTTTTTGGGTTGAGCACCAAATTCAATCTCAGCTCCCCAATCAGAGGTAGTAAAAACCCGTCCATCGCTGCAGCCTCAAAAAGCGGCTTCAGCCCTGCTTGGTCAGATAAATCTTAGGAGCTCATCCTTCTCCTATTCCCTTTTCATCCTGGACCCCCCAGTGGCCCACATTAGAGCCTGCAGATGGCCAGGGGAGATTTAGGAGCTGCAATCCATCAATGTAATGCAGCCTGAACCACTGGACAGCCGCCCTGCTAACCTCTCCTCCAGCTGAACCATACAGCCCCCCTTCAGGCCCGCTTCTGCCAAGCTTGGCCCACTTTAGTAAAACTTTGGTCCTGACTCGGCCTCTTCATGCCCGGTGCCAAAATCAGCTCTCTTTTCGATTCTCATTATAATCACAGATCAACCAAGCTGCTCCTACTTGACAAGGTCAGCTAATTGTCTTTTCCTGCCTGTCAGGTTTGATGTTATAGTTGCATTAAGTAAATTATCTCAACACAATTCTGTCTGCCTTTTTAGTCACGTACACCAACAAGACTGAGTTTGTTATACTGCCAGACATCTGTTGTGGAGTGTTTATCCTCTCCCCTCAGAGAGTGCAAGGATAAACAAGTTTCATTTGATGATACGATGATGTCTTATTTTAATAACAGTCATAAAAGTGAATACTCTTATTATTTGAAGAAAGAAAGGTTCTCCCTGGTGGCCTGTAACAAACAATGAAAAAAGACAGCACTGTTTTGAACACTTACATCTGTTGAATTTAGGGCATGTCTCTTAACACCCTGCCTGTTTATCAGAGCACCTGCAACATTTAACCTTGATATATCTAAATGAAAGCTCTGGTTAACGGTGAGTGTGCCTTCTTCTTTCTGTGACAAACTCCTGGTATTTTACCACGGCTATTCTTCAGTGGCAGTGAGTTTTGTTTTATCTGACATGATCTGAAATCATTAATTTTGGGGGTTTGCCACCCCCCTCCCCCGTGTGATTTGTTCTATGTATTGCCATTTCTAGGATTGATAACGTGTGATGCACCACTTGGAAACAATACAGAATCTCTAGCACACCCCTCTAAAATAAATGGACTTTCTGCTCCTGGCTGTCTGATAGACACAGAGTGAGATTGGTTCTGTTGAATAAGAGATGAATCTCTCTGGGTGTCACCATGCCGCTACGACCTCTGAAATATCATTATCTACAGGGGAGGGAGGTTAACTTTTCTAATATAGCCTGAATACAAGAGAGGGATGCCACAAGTGAACATGATCCTGCTTTATTACCAGTATATCTCAGGAAAAGGTATGTTTTTGTACTGCCATTGTGGTATACGCAGTATCTCACAACACACAGACACATCTAATGGCATAATCTGTTTTCCACAAATCCGATGTGCAGCCTGAGGGCTAATTGCAATATTTCACCTTTTGATTACACTGAAAAAACAGAAGGGAGCTTATTCTTGCACCATATAATAAGTGGGTCATACAGTACAGGGTGTATTACATCATGGGGTCTTTGACAATTCCTTGACCTTCACTTGTTTTGTGTAGTTTTGTTTTCCACTGACCAGTACTCAAATTAATGAGCTTTCTTGTCAATATTTTCCCAAAGACTTCTGTTTGCATTTAACTATTTTAATAGTTTATAGTATATCGTAAATTGTTAACTTAATAAGTAATATAACAAAAATATCAGAATCATTTGTATCAAATTGAAGTAACTTGCTACAGCAACCCGATAATGAACAAATATTATGATGATCGCATCGTAGTATTACCTGAAAATGAATCATTTATTAACATCCAATTTGGAATCATAGCTCAATTCATTCATATTTCACTCAAGGTCTGAAACAGACTGAATAAATAATTCAGTCAGAGTGGATGTAGGGTAGCTGCAGGCATCCCTCCAGTGGCTTACTGTTGGTTGGAGAAACAGAGAAGCATAGATGATATTGAAGAGTCTCCTTCAGCGTTCAAGTCTAACATTTGCAATGAACTCCCCGACGGGTGGAGATGTGAGGATTATTGTTTTATTTGTTGAACTCGTATGGCAGCTGAGCCCACTGTAACCTATTTCAGATTGATGATGTTGAGTCAGATGATCAATGGAATACATGAGCAGATGTATGTTTTTTATATACATCTGCTGTGATTTTATTTGATCCAGGTTGTTTGCTTAATTACGAACAATCACAAAAAATCTAGCATTTTAAATTCTAACTAATCATCCGTCTTTAGAAATATATGTAATAAGACTGTAATACAAAGGTCTTTTTTCAAGTGCATCTGCTATGTCTTCCATCAGTGTTTTCAATTAATTGTGAGACTTAAACATAGGACTCTCTACCCTTTAGGTTGAGTAAAGTCACTGAGTTCTCATTCTTCTTTGTATCCACTGTCAGGGATGCTCACAGTGGCCCCAAAAGGTTTCCACTGTCTTGATGCTGAGAAAAACTGCAACCCCTGTCTTGATGCGGCCAAAGCCTGCAACCTCAATGGCAGCTGCAAGAGGCAACGCTCCGCCTACATTGCTACCTGCAGCAAGGAGGACCCCAACAAGGGTGAAACCTGCAGCAAGAAGCGCTGCCACAAAGCACTGAGATTGTTCCTGGACCGTGTGCCCCCAGAGTTCAGCCACCGGCTGCTCTTCTGCCCATGCCAGACCGAAGGTTGTGCAGAACGACGCAGACAGACAATCGTGCCAGATTGCTCCTATAAAGATAAGGAGAAACCCAACTGTTTGGAGCTACGGAGGGTCTGCCGCCAGGACCCACTCTGCAGGTAAAAGAAAGAAAAATGGTGGGTGGCATTTGGGATGTAAAGAGAAAAGGAAGAGTATCCTGCGAGGGGTGGCAGGGCTTACATTTGTTTTATGTGCATGCATGTCTGTGTGTGTGTGTGTTCTTAGAGTACAGATTTTAGTGTTGTGTGTATGAGACGAGCTCCTGCCAAACAAATCTGAAGATTCATTATCATCTTTTTGTATTCATGGAAAATGAGAAAAAAGAAAATTGAATCCGTGCGAGAGTTAGAAAGAGTTCCTGTTTCCTCCCATGGCATCCAAAAGTTCTATATTTGTCTGTTGTAACTTTGCCAGTGAAGTAATTAGACTTTTAGGGAAGCTGTGGCTATTAGACGCAGGATGAAGATGTGAGGCTAAGTTGAAGGGACAACGCTCAATTAAGCTGAACAAAACATTAGTGGATCACGTTGGCTGCATGGGGCCTCGATTGGATTCAAGTGACCGGATTCAATTCACACCTACCCAGCCGTGACATGTTTCCTTGTGTTAGTGCTGCTGGGAGCAGGTGAAACACAGCAGTTGTACTATCAGCCAAATCAGCTGTCAAGACCTTTTTACACCGCCCAGAACCATGTACTATGCCTGGCAATCTATAGGCTATACATCCAGCTGGCTGAAGGAGATATTCTCTACATTCATTAGTCTAACAGCATAAAAAATGTGGTACTTTTGAATAATTCTAAGCATTTAAAAGCTCATTTATGAGCCTAATGGAGTTTGACCAAGTGTTAGACCCTTGAAAGCTCAGGGCTAAAAATAATACTCATGATGTAAGAATTATCAGACAGGGAGACAATCAGTGATGGCTCTTGACAGAGTTTGTGGGTTTAATACTGCAAGTAGCAGTCCAACCCCAGTAGTCATGGAATATTAAAGCACCTTCCCTGGTTGGATACTTGCAGTAACTGCCTAAAAAAAGAACTGCCGCTTCTTCAGAAAAGCATGTTTGACTATTTAAAAGTTTGGAATTTGTTTAGGACACAACAACCAATACATTACATAAAAGTGCTTGAAGCCATTTGAAACAGTATAAACAGATTTCTTTGCATTAAAATAAACAACATGTTGTACAATATAAATAATAACTAATAATAATCCACAGTCACATGAAATTGAAATGAGTTTTGCTAGCCATAAATAGCAATTCCTTGTGAGATGTTTATCTATGTTGCATCACATTTATCCTGTTTCCATAAAGGTTAGCAGCCTTCGAGGCTGAGCTTTGATGGCAAACCTCAATTGCTCTCCACCAACACTAAATCCAACTACAATGATGCTAAAGTAGGGAAACTCTATTGCCTCCACTCCGATTTATGATTGTCTTAATAATTACCTGCTTGCCTGCATTGTGTAATCTGTTTTCAGGCTGAGTTGCTTTTTTGACCTTTAGGCCCCCGGGTGTCTGCTGTGCACCTTCGTATTGAGAAAGATGAAATAGAACGTTAAAGCTCATTATCTGTGGCCACGTAATGCCCCACTGAGGTCAACAGCTTGATGAGAGTGCACACACTCATACAGTACAGACACACACACACTGGCCTGCACCAACAACCATTTAGCAGTCACACTCACACAAACCCACATGCTCACACACAACCACTTTCAGCTTGAACATGACTCTAATAATCTGGGTGCGTGCAGTGAATAAGTGCTGCCATGCAAGAGAATGTCACTACGATTCAATTAAACTGAGATGTCATTGGTCAGTGCTGGGCTGACAGTGCTCTCTGATTGGTGATTTCATCCTGCCTTGAGGTATCCACAATCATCACCCTCCTGTGAGATATTTTTAATGTGTCCTCTCTCTCTCTCATTGCCCTCTATCTGTTACATGATAGCAGGCATTATCACAGGACAGCTCTGTCCTATAAGACCTTGGAAGCCTTGATTTGTTATTTTATTTGATCTGATAATTTATCATAAAATATTGCATTAACCAACACAATATGTTCTTAATTTGTTCTGCACCTTCAGTGTGTTGGACAAACAACTCAAAAACAAACATTTAAAATGTATTTGTCATGCTAATGGAGACAAAGTCCACAGATTATATACAGACACCTATAAAGAGCTTTTCCAAAACTTTTTAAACACAGAAGTGACTGCACACTCAAATACAACACCAGGGGAAACTTTCCTTGGCTCCATTCTCCCCTCTCAGAGATGTGTTGATAAAAGCAGGGGAAGATCATTCAACGGCAGGGCTGTCTCCCCCGGGGACGCCTGTCTGACTCCAAACAGGGGATACACAGCTAGCCCAAGCCTATTTCATTTTAACACAAGGGACGGATTGAGAGAGGAGGGAATGGTAGGAGGAAGAGACAGAGGGAGAGATAATGAGACAGAGAGAGAGGTGGAGAGGGAGGGAGGGTCGCCGAATCGATCCAGGCCGTAAAACTACTGCAGCAGGTTGGAGGTCAGTGGTTTGGGCGTATAGCTATGGATTCTGCAGCAGACTCTGCAGGCCATGTCAAAGACAAGCTCAGCTCACTGCAACACACTCTGATGTAGAAAGGGTCACGGCTCAAAACACGTGCAAGTCAAAATGGATTTAAAAATGTATACTTACCTATTTTATTATTTATTTTGGAAGACCAGCAGCGCCTTGCTTTACACTATGAAAAATGCCTTGAAATACTTTCTTTTTTGAGTTTTACCTTGAGCACATTGGATGCCAGATTGGCTGTGATTTTATCTTTGGGGACTGTTCAGATTGTTCCAGGTGGAGCCCAGAGCTTAATCAAACACAAAAATAATAAATATTTGAAAGGATTTCAAATATATAATGTTGGCTTGGTCTTAGGTGGCATATTGCACTGGAAAATTTCCTTCTCTTCCTGGTCTCTGCGATGCAATTGTTAACATACTCTGGAGATCTAGGGATTGGAGATGGACAGAGAACAAGTATTAAATGGAGCAGCTCTTATTTCCTACACCTGGTGGTACTTCTGCTGCCGTGTTTACGTTATTTCCGTCTATAATCCTGCACCAACAGACAAAAATGGACATTCCTACGTTTGTTACTGTTCTTCTATTTCCCTCACTTCCTCTCAGCTTCTTCCCTCTCTGTTCCAACATCTATTCATTTGGGACTGCTGAGTCCACAGAGTGACAATAGGCTATATTTGGATGTGCTGTTTTGGGTAGTGTAGTGTGCATGCATGCTGTATGCAAGCAGAGAAACTCCCTATTCAGTTCCATGTCAGTTCGCGCAACACAAGCCCAAGGAAGTCTAATCCAAAGAGCATTGAGTTGTATACTGTATTGATTGTCTGAAGGATCAATGCAATTCTTCTATCTTTGATTAATATCCCCCGGTCTCCGAGCTCACTGAGTGCTCTTTGATTGAGTTCTTTGGCCACTGGTTATCAAAGTGGGGAGCTGAGAGACAATCGATCATTGTACAGGTAACCTGACCCAGTTTGGGAGATGAACTGTACCAGGCTGCCTTTGCTTAAAGAAAATTCACAGGGTACTACTCTCGCTCTCTCACTCTCTCTCTCTTTGACACACATACACACACACACATATTGCCCTAAATCAACAGTCTGCTCTGTTGTATCTGACAACTCAAGCCTCCACTGAGAGAGAACAGTGCAGGGAGAATGACTGGCCCAGATGGCATTACTCTGTAGCTTCTGATACGAGGCTAAAAGAAATCAGGATGTTGTTGCACTTTTATCATTAGTTTCTCTCACATTCACTCACACACACACATACACTTTTGGCTCTTGTGAGGACCCTCAGTGCATTCCAACTAACCCTTCCCTAACCTCCCATTCACACATACATAGAGACTATGATATACTGTAACTATAATGAGCCGCCAAGACTTGACTGTGTGGAAAGAGATTTCTCAGGAAATTAACTACTTTGCTGTGTACAGGTCTAGTGAGAGCAGAGATGTAAATTACATGCTCAATCCCAAATCTGCACAAGCTATAGATTCACAAGAGGCAGCCTGCTACTTAAAATCTGTATGTGTTAATAATGCACTGACCATCTCAACTACATGCCTAAACTCAACCCTTCTTCCATCTTAAACGCGAATTAGAGAATTGTTCTTTTGTCATTTTGTGCAGAAGACCGTTGATATATTTATACCATATAAAGTTGAAATGCAAACATGAACATTTTAGCAAACAGTTCCCAATTTACACTTTCAGCAGACACAGAGCGACTTTAGGATTCATTTAGAGTCAGGTTTCTGGTGACCCAATGAATTTAAGTGCAATGTTTACTCTCCTCCCAGTTTTGGTTTGGTCTCGGCTAACTCTTAAGAGAAATATCTGGCTGTTTAGCTGTTAAATGCTCCACTATGCTGACTTTGCCTGTCTGCTGTTAACAGTGTTGGGCAAGTTACTCAGAAATTGTAATAAGTTATTACTTACTTATTACTCCTTTAAAAAGTAATTATATTACTTTACTTATTACTGGGTGATAAAATTAACTAGTTATGTTACTCGTTACTACCATATTACTTTCACTACCACCCCCCTCCCCTACCACCCCCCTCCCTTCCCCCCAAACAAAGCAGCCTCTCCTGACTCCCGACTTTTTTACTAACATCATAATAACAGCAGCAAGCAAGAAGTCTGTTTTTTTTTTCAAAACATAATGTTTCTTAACAACGTACATGCTGCATACAACGCTGAAATAAAAAAAAAGCAAGTAAATCCCGACTTTTGAACTACTGTTTTCCTGCACATGTATTTTAAGTGCAGTATTCAGTATTTTTACAAAACATAAAACGTTACTTAATGCCACTCTCTCCAGATGAGTGCAAGCATCACTGGCAGTAGCGGCAGGAGTTTCTTTCCATAAGTTTCACATTGCTGTGCTGCTTTAGCTGATGCTTCAATAAGTTAGATGCAGAACTGATTGCGGTTGAAAGCTTTTTTCTGGTCACACAAACTTTACAACGAACGAAAATGTTCTTTATATCTTAGACTGTGAAACAATAATGGTAATTTTTTTG